ACCAATATAAACACAATCATGCTGCTTTCCCATATTCTAAGCCCTGTCTTAACAGTTTATTATTATAACAAACTTTTTGTAAATCTATCTATAATTCATTTTATTGAACATTTTGCTTTGCTACAATGTTTAAAATTCACTTTTCCTAAAATTGTTTTCTATCTTCTTTTCATTCTATATTTCGAAGCATTTCTATTGATTGAAATTTTTGGTATTTCAATATATAATCAATATCAATTTCAATCACAAAAATATGATATATCTACTTGTGAATATACTCTAACTTTATATATTCACTCTCAACGATACTTTAGTTTCAATCTTCTTTCCCAATAAAGAATGACAAACTTTACTTGTCAATTTATACCTTATTTATTAACTTTCTCCTTTCTCTGTTTGTTGCTACACCATTAATCTTAATCTAAATCAATTATCTACCATTTACCATTTTTGTATCAAAAATAAATGATATTGTTACAATGTTCAATTCATAATGATTACAACAAAATTCAATTAAACTTCTTTTCTAGTTCAAATAATGAAAATTATAAAAATATTCTAAGATTTATATCTAATGACAAGAGGTTATAAATTAAAATTAAGTTGCCTAATCACTTAAAATGAATTTTCATATATTCTCTTATGTATTAATGATTAACTTCAAGAGTCAAATATATTTCTTCAGAAACTTTAGACTTCGCTTTAAGATTTATTGAAATAAATTATTTAAATTATTAATTTTATAATTTAGAATATTAAATATGATAAAAATAAAACAATTAATCTAAAAATGTCTAAATACACTTCAGATTGACTTTAGTTCCAACCATGCCCAATTTTAATACGAATATGAAAATTTTGAAAGAATTAACCAAATAAATTCCTTGAAATCAGGTTCGAAGTACTAAAACTATCAAATTTATATGCAGTATAAATTATAATATAATTCAAATAAATTATAATACAAATAACTAACAACAAGTGTGAACTCTTATTTTGAAAAACTTAATAACTCGTTAAACAAGGGACTTTCAATTGAAATAAAAAAGTGAAATTGATTTTATATTAGATTTATAAATCAAAAGTTATAGGCTTAATCTCTCCTATTTTCTTTTTCCTTCTTCTCAGTTGCATGATTAATGTATCATTGTGAAGTAATTTAACTCTAAAAATTGCAAACTCCAAAAGGACAAAAATATGATCATATTATTTAAGGGTTTGCTATTGAAGAAAAAAGAGAAAGATGTTTCATTATTATGCTATTTGAAGAAACAACTGATTAATAAACTCTGCCTAATAAAAGAAAATTTGTTCTGAAGTAAATTTATTTAAATAATTTAGATGGTTAAAGGTGT